AACGCACGGGCAACTCTCCCGGGGTGCCCACGCCGTGGGCGAGCACACGGGCACCTCTGCAGGGGCACCCGGGAGCCCTGGGCGCCCCTCCGCTTTTTGGGTGTTTTTTCCCTTGTGTGGGCGCCGCGGGGGGGGAAGGAGCAGGAGCCCTGGGAAGGCCCTGTGCAGACCCCTCCGGGGAGGGGGGGGATCGGCGCGGCGCTGCCGTGGGGGATATAAATAGGAGAAGAGCTCGGGGCTGTGGCTTAACGAGCCCCCCGAGGCCCCGCCGGGCTGTCCCCAGGCGGAGCCCCCTAGGAGGCGATGCCAGGGCTGGCAGCCAGGGTACAGACACACACCGGCTGTTCGTCTCCCGCTCAACCCGGCACCGTAACGGGGCACGGAGGGACCCCGGGGAAGCGCTGCCGGAGCTGCGGGCGCACGGTCGGCGCGCTGGAGCGGGAGCCGGGGAGACAGCGGGGTTGCCCTGGAAACGGAGCGGCTCCGGTACCCATCGTTTGTCATCGTGAGGCCGACGGCACGAGCCATGACAGAGTGATGTCAGGAGAAGCAGGAGCTGGGAGAAGGCTGCGTCACTCCACGGCCGAGCGCTCCCGGCTGCTGCAATGCTGGTTTGGGGGACCAACACCCCCCTACACCCCAGGCCCCAGCAGCCAATTCTGGCCGGGTCTCAGTGGGAATGAGTGACAAGGCACAGCTCATGGCACCTGACCCTCTTCCGTGGCTCCGGGCCAGCAGAACCAGCAGCTCTGGCTGGGGAGTGCTGCCAGGAAAGGAAAAGGTGCTGCCAGGGCTCTGGCTCTGGCACTAGATGCTGCTACAGAGCAACATCCTTCTAATTATAGTAACGGTGTCAGTGCTCAACAGTGGGGAAAACGCACACTTCAAAAGGTCTAGAACTATGTAATTTGCTGCTGGCAAAACTCACTAAAAAACACACCGTAATGAAGCACTTTTTAAAGGTAATTTGTACTCATCTGGCTTGCTTTAAATTAGCTGAAGGTTCAGTGGGAGAACAGCGGGGATGAGGTGGGCATACAAGCAGTAGAGATCTCTGGTTAAAACTGCCTCTCTATTCCTAAGGCTTTACACTAGTGTTACATGAAACAGCAACATTTGGTGGATCTATGTTTAAGCTAAATATAGCACAAGAAAAGTCAAGTCAGAACAGCAACACTCGTGGAGAAAGGAGGGAGTTGGGTGGGCAGGCAGACATTTAAATGTCACTCCTCAGATGCATTTTGCTAGTGATGCTTTCCTAAATTATTTGATTGTGTGGAGCAGAACTACAGGATTGGGGGTTTTGCGTGAGTAAAGTACAACCCACTCCTGTAACTCCTTCTCCAGTTCCCGCTGTCCCTGGAAGTGCCTGTCACTGTCCTGTCATTGTCACTCCACCTGGAGAGCAGCTGTTGCTCTCTGAGTGTTCCATACCCTGGGATCCCGCAGGGACTTGCTGGGGCAGCGAGGTGAAGCAGAGCAGGTGGGATTCAAGTGAGAAAACAGTGACCTTTGTGCTAAGAGCTGCCCTTTGAGATCAGAGCAAATCCCCACTGAGAAAGAAACTCGCTCTGTGCATCTCACATTCCCTAGTGAGCAACCCAGACTAGTCCCTGTGCAAACACAGAACAAAACACAGAGACAGCCCCTTCCTCCAAGAGCCCCAGGCTGAACAGGTGAGACAAAGGGCAGGAGAGTGAACCCAGCAGCTCTGGCAGGGAGCTCCCAGCCTTCCAGCTCCTTTCCACCACCCTGCTGCTTTAGCTGCCTTAAGTCAGCCAGATGCACGTGGCTGTTCCACAAGCTGGTTTTGTGCAAGGAATGTATAACTGATGTTCTTATCCTTCCTCGTCCATGTCTGCTCAAAGACCATCTTATTTCCGTGCCCCAGATGTCACCCGGGGGGGGTTTGATTGGGGCAGTTCTTTCATAAGTAGTGCAGTGGACAAAAGGGGTTCAAAATGACCTTTCTGGTCAATAATGTCAGGCAACATCACCTATGGGAGGGTTATGGGAAATCCAAATAGTAGTAAAAAAGGGTCCCAGTCTGGGCTTAGTGGAAATGATCCTTGTCCTGTCAGTGGGGAGAACGAGAGGATCACGGTTTGGCCCCACCTTGACTCATAATCAGTGCTGGAAGTTTCTGTTTCTCACCCCCCCAGAGAGGTTTTCCCTCTGGGGATGGATGCACTGTGCAAGACACCAGCTGGGACAAGGAGAGAAACAGCCTGTCAAATGGGTTCTTAAATTAGATGGACAATGAATGATGAGTCTGTTCCAGCTGAGCAGAAAGAGATGGAAGGAACAAGGGGCCCTTGGGAAGGCAACAAGCTACTGCTCTGAGGCTTGGTTAATGCAAGCAGGGCTTGAGTGGAAAATACCTTGAGAGCACAAGGCAGATCCCCAGGCAGGTGATTTATTTACATGTGGTGATTCACTCTTCCTGCAGTTCTATTTCCAAGCCCAAATTCCTTTGGCACAAGAACAGATAAGACAACATTGTCCCCTGTGGTGAATGGAGGAAGACCTGCCATGCAGGAGTGACAGTCTGGAAGGCATTCCCTGCCCTGTGCCTCAGTTCCCCCACTGGGTATTGGTGGGGAAAGCAGATCCTTGTGAAGCTCCCACAGTGCTCACGAGCCCCAGACTGTACAACCCAAGGGGGAGAAGGAAAGCTTGCTGCTGGTGTTGGGGGAAGGGGATTAATCAGCAGGAGATGACAACACAAGTCCAGGCTTTCGTTAATTAGAGGAGGGCAGGAGCTGATTCAGGGAGCAGCCCCCACGTGGCGCTGGGGGGGTTGTTGCTGCAGATTTGTTCTCCTGCTCCCTGGAAACACGAGGAGTTTCTGGGTACTGCTTCAAACCACAGCCCTGTCGAGCAGAAGTGTGTCACATAACACAAGATATTCCCCAGGGGAGAAGCTGCGGGGCTGCCAGGAAAATAAACGTTTGGCACAGCACAAATCAGGCCATTATGGTGTCAATCAGAGGGTCGAGGATTCAGCCAAAAGGCAGCTTGGATGCAGAGCTGGGACCAAGCCCTTCACAGAAGTTTTTCCAAGCAGGCACCCCAGAAATACAGACTGCCTTTTATCACCCAGTCTGTGCTGGAGAACTTCCCCTCATGGTGGATTTATGAGTATCTGCACAGGAGTTCAATAATTCAGTGTGGCAGAGCGAAGCCCTATGGCTGCAAAACCAGCATAATTTCAAGCAGAATAAAGGCATAAGGGGAATTGGCCACTGGCACAGCTGATCTATGGATTTGTGGCTGCTGTATAACTTCGTGTTTTTTCTTGGATCTGAATGCTTTTCTAAGAGATCTAGCCCAGCCCAGCCATGTACTGGTACTGACACCAGGAGATAAAATTATCTGCCTTGTCCTGTGCAGAGCAGACTAGACAGTTCCTTCTGGCTTGTAAAGAATCCATATGCATATATGTAACAACTGGCATAATGAGGGCCCAGTTCTCAGCATGGCCTTCAGGCAATAACTGTTCTAGAAATAGAAAATAGTATTAATCCTGAGTTTGCTGGGAATTTATCTTTTTGGAAATATTTGGATGTGGACCTTTCTTCACCCTTTTGGCTTAGATGAGGTGCCTGGTTACCAAAGGGACATCTTCTCAGGGGATTCAGTTCTGGTTTAGTTATGTAAAGGGGTGTCTTCCTCCTGCACCACTTCACTAAGAACAGTCTGAAGAAAATATAATAGAAAAGACCCTTAGCTGGATAAAGCATAAATCAACAGACCCAGCTGCCACTGGGGCTTCTGGGCTGGAGGTGTTCTGTGCACCTTATCTATATTATGGGTACCGTGAAAGCTCTTCTAATTAGTCTTCTGGAAGATGAAATGCCTACAATGACAGTGGCAAGTGCCATTTCCAGGCTGCTCACACAGGACTGAAATGGCTCGTTAAGTCATCTGCAATCAGTGGTGGGGCCCTAAAGCTTTGAATACTTGATTCGCTGCCATACAGCAATTTTCTCATGTGAGGAGAAGCAGGAACAGTCAGGCACCTCTTCCCCGTTTTTCCTCTCTCTGCCAAATGAGCCTTTTTTCCTTTTCTTTCTTTTTTTCTTTTTTTTTTTTTTTTCTTCTTTTTCCTGGACTGTTCCCTTAGAAACAGGCAGCTCACCCTTTCACCCCTGCTCCTCCTCTCCCTGCCCCTCTCTCTCCCCGCTCTCACTGAACGAACAGGGCTCTGACGCGCAGCCCTTTGGAAGCAGCGCCTGGGGACGTCAGGGAGATGATGTTTATGGCAGCCCTGCTGTGACAGGGGAGGTGGCACACGCACCCCCGTGCTGTGACCTCAGCTGACAGCCACAGTCGCTGGTGAGCCGAGCCGTGGCTGCTCCCCCGCGCTCACCCGGGTGAGCTGTCAGGCTCTGAAGGCCACATCCAGCGAGGGAAAATGTTAACCCCAGCCCTGCTTCAGGCTCCAGGCTGAACTCCCAGCTTCACCAGAGCGCTGCCTTGTGAAATGAAGTCACCCTGTTTGCTGGAAAGGCGTCAGCTCCTGCTGTCAGCTCCAGCAGCTCCTCGCCAATTTATTTCACGGAGCTTGGAGGAGCTGGAAAGGGCTGAAGCGATGGATAGGAACAGGAACGCCTCAGAACCAGATTTTCTGTGTTGGAAAAGATTACATGATCCACAGAGACATGTGACCCGGGGAAGAGGTTCAGAGCACATCTGCGATTGAAATAAACCCAGAGAAGTTCAGTCTGGGTCTGAGCTGTGCCAGTTCTGTCGCAACTTGAGTCTCCAAAGGACAGATTGGAATTTGGAAGATAACTGCTACATGAGTTCACGCTATTTGTCCTGTCAGACCGGGCTCTTACTGGCAATGGCTGGCACCAAGTTCTCTGCTGAGAAGGTCCAAGAAATCCTGCTGCACATAAGTCAGGGATAACGTGCTCCGAGTGCAAGTTTCCTCCTGATTCTGACAAAAGGTGTTAGCTTAAATCACAGTGCATGAAAATTTATTGCCCTGCAAAATTCTTTTTCTCTAGATTTTCTCCACAGGCATGTCAAATACCATTTTGATCTCGTTAAGTTTCTGCTGGGCCTCAGGAAAACACTCAGGCAAAGGCATCTGCAGCCTTGCTTTGGAAAACTGGCCTTTTGGATGCCTTTGTGGGTGCTGCAGCCTCAAGCAGGATGCTTGTATTTACAAAGATTAGGAACCTAGAAACCTTTCCAGTCTCATCTACACTTTGTCTGCTGCTTCTGAAATGCATACAGACTCCTGTTCTCTCCGGGGAAACCGTCCACACGGTCCTTTCTCATTTTGTTCATACTGGGAACAAAAATTCATGGGGGGGCATGTTCTGTGTGAGTTCATTTTGGTGGGTTTGGCTGTGGGGAGGACACCTCTGCAGGCATCAGATGGTCAATCTCGTATCTCTCTGTAGTTCTTATCCACTGTGGAAAAACGTACAAGGTGAATCTCAGGGGGCTTTGGCTTCCTGTCATCCCATAAATACTCTGGAGAAAGCACCTTGGAGGGTTTGTGGGAGAGGAAGTGCCTGTTGAGGTGACTTTCTTCCTGCCAGACCGCCATGATCCCGTTGGCTTTGTCCGTCAGGATGGCCATGTGGCAAGTCCTGGTGAACTCGTAGACCTTCCTGACCAGCCCTCCAAACACGGCCCCTCCGTAGTAGAAGTCCCCTTCCCCAGCAGGGATGAAGGCTGCTGAGGAGCTCCTCCTCTCGTAGGGGAACTGGTTTCGAGGCACGTTGAAATAGCCAGGGTGTATGGCTGCCACTGTGTCCCCCAGGGTCTCGGGCCCCCAGGGGTTGTGGAACACCATGTCGATGTCCAGGCAGAACAGGTACTGCACCTGCCTGTGGCTCACCTCGGCTATGTGCCTGTTGATGGCCTCCATCCTGCGCATGGAGATCTCCTGCCAGCTGGGGTATTTCTTGATGGGCACAAGGACGAACCTCCGTCCAGGCTGCAGCTGGACACTGGGCATCGCCTGGGGGCTGTCAGTGAAGATGTAATAGTTCACCCGGTAGCCTTTCATGAAGTGCTCCTCTGCCGACTCCACGAAGCGCCGCACAAACCTCGTGTACCTGTGCAGACACCACAGGTGAAGAGCACAGCAGAGACAAGGAGGGACTTTACTCAGAGAGGGACTTTTTACAAGGGCATGCAGTGATAGAACAAGGGGGAATGGCTTCAAACTGACAGAGAGCAGGTTTACATCAGATATCAGGGAGAAATTCTTCCCTGTGAGGGTGGTGAGGCCCTGGCACAGGTTGCCCAGAGAAGCTGTGGCTGTTCCATGCCAGGAAGTGTCCAAGGCCGGGTTGGATGGGGCTTGGAGCAACCTGGGGTAGGGGAAGGTGTCCCTGCCCATGGCAGGGGGTTGGAACGAGATGGGTTTTAATGACCCTTCCAACCCAAACCACTCTGTGATTCCAAGGGGATTACAAAGGGTACTTTGGTGATTGGAAGAAGACAAGGGGTGAAGAGTGTTAGCTGACTATCACTGCAGGGATCCACACACTACACATGCAATAGGTAAAGTATAGTGGAGGACAAAGAATAAAAGGATTATCCCCCCTCTCACCAAGCAACCACCAATCTGCAGCTCTAACTCCCAAGACACCTGCCAGTTCTCAAAAAAATACCGACTTTCAGGTATTTTAAGCGCTGTCATCTTGTGGGCTTGTGTGATTATGGACACACTACACGGGCATAAAAGCCTACCACAGACTGGGACAGATTTCAGCTTCGCTGAGGACAAGAAAAGCCAAAATGTTCTTCCCACAGTGAAGTGCAGCACCCCAAGCACTGCGGCCACCGAGTGCTTCCCTTACTTTCCGACGGCAAAGGCTGTCACCCCAATGCTGAGGTTCAGTGGCCTGTAGGCACTGTCCAGCACCTCAGGATTGAAGGTTCCTTCCCAGACGATGGGGGCCAGCCATGGTGTGACCGTCAGCACATCCTGGCGCCTGGAGGAAGAGAAAGGGAATGTTAGAGAGGTGTAACTGCTCTGAAGGAAACGCTGAGAAGGCAGCTGGAAGAGGGTTTGTATCAGCACTGACTCGTTGTGGAGGGTATTACTTCAGGTTTTTTTTTTTTTTCCCTGCACTCCTATTTGAGGTTACTGAGCGTGGACATTTCAGTTCCTGGGATGAAATTAAGCACTTTAAGAGATTGGCAAAACCCCGAGGATCTACTGAAATCTCATTTAAGCTCACAGGACTTTTCTGCTGAGGAGAGTTTAATGACCACTGAACTCACAGAATGAGAAGCTGGGCATATTTGCTATCAGTCTGATGCAGATTGCCACATGCAGATTAAAACACAAGTAATAATATGAAAATTACTATAAAAATATACCCCATTGCTGGGTTATTAAAACGCAGCTTGCAGCATGACAGTTTATTTTCCCAGTATTTATATATAGCTTCAACACATTCAGACATAATTTAAAATTCTGTATGTGAGCCAGCATTCAAATGTGTAACAGAATTAGAAAGAATCCTTAATCTCCTCTGAGGGTCGTGGAAATACTGAATATACTTGCAGCAGAGTCTGATTATGTCCTATTACAGCTAGGCAAGGCTGTTTCAACTTGCTGCTTTGCTTTCAGTGTTTTGCTCTTACCTTTCTGATTTCAAAACAAGATGTCATTACGACATGCAATTTACCCCAGCCTGCTCCCATTCGCCCCAGACCGTGAGCCTGTAGCCCTCTGCTGATGAAATTTGTCACACAAGGCACGTGGTCACACGTGGAGGCTGCCAGTCTCCCATCTGACACACTCCCAAAGCAAAAACAGCACCAGGACCAAACCAAGGGAGCTGTGGGGAGCAGCTTGCTGGCTCAGGCTGCAGATCTAATTAGATCTCCCAACCCAGATCTCATTCTTTCAGTTCTGAGAGGGTACAAGAATAACAATTTGATTCCTTCCTATAGCAGTGTCTGTGATTAAAAGATTAAATTATACGGGAAGAAGAATTTGGGTTGGAGAAAATGTAATAATTGACCTGTTCTCCTTATGGGTTAATGATCCTTTTTTGGATGAGGGGAGAAAGAGAGGGAAGGAAAACTGCATGTTCTCTTCTCTGAGCAGAGCTTTTTAAATTTAAAGGGCTGCCCTGGGTTTCCCAGTGACTCATGGCCATGGTATCCCTCCTCTCAGTGCTGGTGAATAGCCTCCAGAAGGCACAGAGCACTAAAAGCTATAAATTTCTCTCCTCATTTAGCTGACTTATCACATAAGTTTATTCCAGTGTGGAAAGGATAAATATTCAGGCCAAGCATATCCTGTTGGAATATCAAGGGGGAAAAAAAAAATATATATATATATATATATGTACCAACAGGGTGTGTTTGTTAACATACAAAAGAATGTGGCTGCTGAAGGTGAACTGCTCGAGATAAGAATGAGCCCAAAGGAGGCTGCAACAACCTGAGCTGCAGAGAGAGCTTGTCTAAGCCACTTCTTAGAGCTGCTGCCCAAAACCTTCCCTGTCTGCTTAAACTCACTGACCTGACTGCATCTCATAGAAACTCGCTTAAGCTGAAACCACTGCTGAAGGTCACACAAAGCACCTGCCTGCTTTTGCCCTGAAATGGGCTCAGAGCTCTCCCACAGCTGCTTACACAGTTCCTGAAGGTATTTCTGTCTTCCAGCTATAACAGCTCTCCCGTCTCAAAAAAGAGTTCCTGGCAGCAACCACGCAGACTGGGTGTGTGTGCTGATGTTTTAATTAGGAATTAACAGTAAGTGTGTTAAACCCAACCTTACAGCAGCACATACCCATATGGTTTGGATTCTCATGGAACAAGGTCCTTTTCAGTGTGTCCCAGGACTCTGGAACTGTGAGTGCTGCAGAGTGCCCAGACCAAAGTCAGAAGAAATAAAGTTCAAACAAAGAAACTTACTTTGGCGCCAGCACTCTTGGCTGCTGATAAAATAATCTGTAAAAAGGAAGAAATATCCACTGAATAATACATGAATATGCCTGGAAGAGAGGAACAGCAGTTTAAAGGTCGGGAGATAAAAAGCCAGTACTTACTGGGGGAAAAGCTGGATTAGCTTCTCTTCTGTATATTGGAGTTTTATGGAGCTGCACGATGGGGTGGAAAAAGAAAGGGCTTGTTATGCTTTCCTAAAATGTGAACCAGGTTCAGCTTCAGGACCTGCTGCTGCACTGACAGCTGTCCAAGTGCAGCTCCAGCTGCTGTGCACACTGCAGGGTTAGACACCACTTCACACACCTTCCAGGGCTGCCAGAGAAGTGACAGTTTTGGAACAGAACACAAAAACACAAGAGGGGCAGAGAAATTCTGGCAGCAATCCGAGTGTGTGGGTAAAAAAATCTAGGGAAGCTCAAAATCCAGGGAAGCCCAGGCATGTTGGGGACTGTCAGTACTGGTCATGTATGTGCTCCACTTCCTGGTCACCTGGAGGCTGAACTACCTGAAATACATCACACTTCCAACAGCATTCAGAGAAATAAGCATCTGACTAGACATAGTGGTTTACTCTGGCTTAAAATAACCAGGAATGCCTCTGTAAAACATCATCTTTTCTATTTGCATTGTTTTGGTTTGTTTTTACAAGAACAGTTGGTCTTGGGAAAGGACATTAACCTGTTAGTCCTGGTCTCTGGGACCCACAACAAACAAAGCCTCACTCGGGCTGTGCAAATCCAGAGCTGTCCTGTGGGGCAGGCAGGTCCAAACAGCACAGGCTGCATTGTTACCTTTTTGTTCTGATAGAGTGACTCATTATAGATTCATAAAATAAAGAACAAGTGACTTGTTAATCACTGCGTGTGCTGTCAGTGAGGAACAGCTCCTGTGACAAGGATCTGTGTTATTCAGTGCACACAAACCTGGGTACTTACAAGATTTCAGGGCAAGGAAGGTAGTAGGGAAGGTAGTGCACTTTTCCCCTCCAAGCTGTAATCCTGGGAGAGCAGAGAAACATCTTAAGAGGAAATGATGGAAATCTTCCTAGGATTTTCCAGGATGATCTGAGTCTCTGGCACAGATTTTGAGAGGTAATTTTAGCCAACTGCATGCCTACTTTACTAAATAGTGTAGGATCTGGTGTGTTTAAATTTTAACATAACATGCTGCTGCTAAGGCATAAATGCAACTACCCACAGGGTGAAAATGCAGCAAATTGCAACATCAGAAATACGGGATCATGAGCAATAATTTAGTAATCAATAAAGAAATGCCTGATCTCAGATTCCCTTCAAACAATGTTTGAGTTTGCTCAAGAGAATCCATAAGTCACAGTCATCAGAGTACTCAAAGTTACAAAATCCCCAGTGTTTGAAAGCTGCAGTGTTTGACAGCTACAAAGCTGTCCCTGGTGACACTGGAGTGAGTCTGGACTGTTTGAAGAGACAGATAATCATCTCTGTTAAAGCCTGAACTGAAATGTAACTGGAATATTCTGTACCTAAGCATTTGTTTGGGAGTCAGTACCGTGTTAGCATCCTGAGACACAACTGCTCTTGTTGCTCTCTCCCTTAGAGCCTTTCCCCCCTACCAGTGTTCCTTCATCTATCACCCAAATTGCTGTTCTTTCTTACAGCTCTAACAGGGACTTCCCACAACATGCACAGCCTGTGTTTTTCTGCTCCTGTGTGTTTTACCACAGTATAGACAGGGTGTTTTAACTATGCCCAAGCTGGCCAGCAAATGCTTACCAGATAACTGCAGTAACAACAACCAGACAGACAAGAGATCCCACCACCTTCCTGGAAATCATGTCTTCTAGAGTAGAAGGAAGGGCAGCTTCTGACTTCCAGCAGTTTTCAATCTGCAAAGAACAAAAAAGCAAGGGGAGTTGGCTGGAAGTATCTGAGAGGAATCGATTATTTTCTCAGAGGAGGATGAAGCTTTTCAGGCAGTCTCTGTTTCCGCCTTCCTGAAATCAGGAGCACAGAAGGAGCCAGACTGTAAGAACCGGGGCACGAAGTCAGTGAGGCAGCACCTGTGAACTGTCTGAGAAACCTCTCCATGCCAGTGAGCTCTAACCCCAGGTGCAGTGCATGAGGGGCCTCTCTGATTTGATTACAATTTCTGTAGATTCCATTTTTTCAGCTGAAGCACAAACCCTTTTACAATGTAATCAACCCACCCAATCCAACCCCATCAGAGAGCTGATAAACCCCACCTTTCACAGACAATAGCTGCCAGAGACACTCCCTGCAAAGCAGTAAGAAAGGTAAATTAAGGTGTGATACCAGCAAATAAACATTACACAGCACTAATGTATGTTGGGTAATATTTCTCTGTAAGTCAAAGAAATTGTTTCCTTTTTAACAGCCATAAAAATCAACTTCCCCGAGCTCACCTGTCTTACCTTAAAAGCTCAAATCAATCCCTTTTCTGTTCACAGGGAAGCAAAGGTGCCCACAAAGTGTGAACCACGTGTGACAAACACACAACGCCCTTCCATGGGGCCCCCAAAGGGACTCGTTACAAGCACGTTAATTGTCATTACATTCATTATTACCTTCAGAGGGGACAGAACCAGGGAGCTGAAGATAAGGCTTGGCACCCATCCACAGCATCCTGTGGTGCTTTCCAGGCTGGCTGGAAGGACTGAAAGCAGGCACTAGTTAAGAGGAAAACACTTTCCTCTGTGATTGGAACCTGGGGGGGAAGGAAAAGGCTGTTTGTCAAAGTTCTATTTATGGAGCCAGTAGGGTTTATGTCAGTGGGAGTAACTGGTACGTGGTGCTTCTTGGGGGATGCTGAAGTAACCACAGAGATCATTACTGACCTGGCCCTTGGTAAGGCATAAACCAGTGCCAGTGGATCTGGTAAGGCAGGGCTGATTTTCCTGCTATAATTTCTCTGGTTGTAAAAAGACAAGTGGCAAAAGTTCTTTAATTTGCTTTGCTATGCTGTACAGAAACCCTCACTCTCCCGCCAGGCAATCTAATTAGTTTTCACCAAGAGGCATCACAAAATCCCATTCAAAAATAATAATTAATTAATTAATTAATTAAATATCTTAAGGCCTTCCACCAGTTAAAGCCTTCATGGATTCCCGCTAAGCAGTTCTGGATTCTTGCCTAAAAATGCTGCAGATCCACAGGAGGAGAAGGACGTGCAAACAGCCTTCCCCTGTAGCTGTTATTCCATGCTTTCACCAGCTTCAAACAGTTGTTTTTCAACCATTCTTTGAGAGCTGGTCAGCCATGGGGCAGGTAGGCAACCTGTGCTGGTGCTGTCCTGCCCTTGTCAGCAGCAACTTCCATATTTCCAAGCAGGATCTCACTCACTGCAGTTTAGGTCTGTGCCTGTTTGTGGCAGTGATCCCTTACCTGCAGACTCCCCTTTCCATACCTGAAGGCTCTGCTGTTTCCTTCCCTCTTCTGTTCCGTGAGCTCCTTCAATCTTTCTTTGTACTTTTCTAACTGCAAGGTCAGGGATCTGTCAGTTCTGACTGGACTCTCTCTATCAGCCCATTCTCCTGAAATCTGGTGCCAAGACCAGCCCAAACTCTCTTGCTGAGCCCTCACCAGTATTAAGTAAAGCTGGATTGCCCCACAAAACTGACCGTCACAGTTCATACACTCCTAAAAGAGGAAAAGTAATCCACATATTTTGAGTTATTGCATCATTAGCAGCAGAGCCGGTGTCTTCTCCCATTGCTTCAGTTTCTGTGTTACAAACCTGCAAAAATGCTGGAGTCAGGTGAGACTGGAACATCTTCCTGAACCTAAAACCATCTCACTGGCATCTACCTCAACTGATTTACAGCCCCAGAGTTCACCACGAATGCAAACAAAAACCAAATAGATGTGGTTGCAGCTAATAACAGAATCTCCAATTAAAACCAAAACACAGCTAAAGCATTTTTAATAGTTACTCGGGTTCCTCAAATTTGTTCAGAGAGTTTTTTTTTAAAATGGATATGGGTGAAAGTAGCTCTGTTACTCCCAAATGAACTTACTTGACCTCCCAGAACAAAGCACTACTTTATCTTCAAGCCCTGCCTCGGAAAGCATTCTGGACTGCAGATGAATCCCTCACTTGTAGACCACTCCGTGCAAAATGTTCTTTGCAGATCGACTATTTCAGATTTCCAAACCTGTGTTTTCAGATTCCTAGAGCTGAAGTGGCGAGCTGTGAGTGCAGTGCCGTCCAGAACGTGGAGAAAGAGAAGATATCCGTGGGAAGGGCTCCATCTGTGCCGAGGAGGAGTTTCCCTTGCCGGACTCCGGGGTTAAACAGGCTCCGGTGACAGGGACGTGCTCAATCACACCTGAGGCTTGAACACAGACCTCAGCACCAATCCACTGCTTGGGCTCCTCACTCTTCAGAGTCTCATATTACAGCTGCACCAGCAGGAGTTAACTGCACTCTGGCAGAGGTCCAGCTGGGAAGCACTGCCTGCCCAGCCTGCCTTTCACTCCCAGCACATTCACCAGAGCTTTATTGATAAGGCAAAAAATAGCTTATTTCAATGCTACAAAAATTCTGTTGGGCTCCATCTGTATCATCACTGACCTTAGAACAAATTTCAGGTTACACCAGCCAGGATCAAGGGGACACCAGCAAGATTTGACTGCTCTCAGAGGTAGAGTGGCTTTGCCTTCTGGGCTGCTCCCACCAATCTCCCCCATGCTGAAATGCAGCAGCTGAGCTGTGCTTTCTCTGCCCAAGTTTACATCTGTATTTCTGCATAAACAACAATAAAGCACAAAATTGGTAGTGGTGAAATAGTTTTACTTTACCTAAATCCAGCTGCTGCTCCCTCGTGTCAGAAGATTGCGCTGAGGCCCCTTATTTTCTGCCTTTGACAATAAAACTGTATGAACAATGAACTATCCTCTGTGTTCCTTTTAAAGGCTTCTGAAATCAAACCATCAGCAATATTTAAATTTTGCTAAAAATGCAAGATCTTCATCTCCCTTTCATTAGCTCCCAAAAGGAAAGAACTGCCTTCTCTTGAGAACAAAGCCTGCAACTCAAACTCAGATTGCACTCAGGCTCTTGCTGGAATTTCTTAAAAGTCCAAAGTATGAAATGAACTATTACAAAGCTGCTGAAAAGGTATTTCACCCAAACATGAAAACCTCAAGGCAGCTCCTAATTCATTCAAAGCACAAGCATCTTGTTTGCTCTATGCACTCCTTTTCCTTTATTTTTGCCCCCTCTGAAGCCCATCAACCCCAGGGGTTCCCTTGGTGGCACCCATGGCATGAAGACACACCCTACAGCACATCAGAAGTGACAGCAATCAACATTTTCTCTTTAGGAAAGTAGTAATAACTCTTATTATTAACCAGCCAGAAGGTGTTTCCTTAGGATAAAAAACTTTATTAACAAACATACAACTTTTTTTTTTCCCTGTGATGAAGCTGGGAAGCCGTGGCAGTGCCTGCCCCACAGCCTGGTGTCCTCAGGCACTGCCTCCCCGGGGACAGTGGCACACAAGAGGGACGGAATCTGGGAATATGGAATTTGGGCTGCCAGGAGCAGCTGCCTCCCTCTCACTTTAACCCAGCTTTTTTCAAGTCCTCTGGCAGAACCCGGCCTTTCTTCCTGGCCCTGGCTTTCTTCTTCTCCATCCTATCCTTCTTCTTCTTCTGGATGTTCTTCTGCCGCTTGTCCTGCCGCTGCTGCATCTTTTCCACCACCCTTATTGTCCGCTGCTCCCACTGCCTTTTGCGCTGGGCTTTGCGCTTCTCCTTGCGCTTCAGAGCTTCTTTCAGCCGCTCCTCGTCGTCGCGGATCTTCACACCTTCCGCCTTATAGAGAGCATTTGTCCATTTTATCTTGGTCTCCAGCTCCTGAGCTTTCTTCTCGTCCTTATCCTTGAGTTCCTCCAGCTTGTTCTTCCTCATCTCCAGCCTGCTCAGCAGCTGCTTGTAGTTCTTGCCCGTCAGAGGAGTGATATTGCCTTTCACTGCTTTCCTCTTCTCCTTCTTCTTCTGGATCTTGTTCAACTCATTCTCTTCATGGACTTCAACTCTGTTAAAGACAACCTCAGCTCTGATCTCCTCCTTTTTGTTTTCTGGCTCTACTGGTACCTCCTCAGTTTCTTTCTTCTCCATTTTTGCCTTCATCTTCAACTCCTTCCTTCGGCGCTTCTTTCTCTCTCTCTCGTATTTCCTTCGCTGCCTCTTCTCCAGGACTGCAGGTGTTAATTCTTTGGCATTACCCTAAGAAAAAGAATGGACGTGAATGAGCCTTAAAGAGATAAAGCAGAGTTGAAAGTGGGCTGTCCTGATCTCCAACTTCCCCTAAGAAGCACACCACCTGTGACAACGAGCTCAACTGTTAGAGACACTAAACACAGAGAGGGCATTTCAAGCCCTTCGTTCTCCAACTGCCTGTAGCTGCTCCCTTTCAGGCTCTCAGTGCTTTGCTTTTTCCTGAAAATCACCACAGGCATGTTCTCCTCCAAGCCTGGCTCCAGCTTTTCTCATGTGTTTTTATCACAGAACACACAGAGGTCTCCCAGCAATACCTACCAGCAGTTCCTTAGGAGACAGAAACAGCTCAAACCCTGAGCCTTGTGAGATCCCGTCCCCACATCCCCTGGGAGGCTGAGGAGAATTTATAGTGCATAAACACGTATTAAAAGTTCTCATACTTGTCCAGAAGCTTTTTTAATCTTCTCGTGCAGTCTCTGACGCAAGAGATTGATTGCAGAAACAGAAGGGGAACTCAGTTCACTTTTACTCCCTGAAAATGAGAGGAAGAAAATAAAAATACTTAAAAGGCATCATCAGCCAAACAGAAGCACTTTCTATGGCTGTGGGAAAAGCTCCGGGAACTCTTTAGATGCTGTGAATGGAACGGAAAATCTGAACTAACCAAGAGTTTCTATTTCATTGGTTTCTTTAGAATTTCCCCTTTTCTATCCATATTATCATTCAACACTGCCAGCAAGTGGCCTGGCATGCCCCAGGGCTGCCTGGCAAGCATCAAGTTTGTGGAAACAGAGACGTTCAGGACATCTTTTCTCTGTGATCTGGCTTTTCAGAATCATAATGGAAAACTGACCTGGCAGGACATAGATTGTATCCATGCATAATTCCTAAAGTTACACAAATACATAAATAGTCTGCACTTCAGTTTAAACACCGTTTCCAGGGAGCCACCCAGTGGTGATGGCACAAATTCGTGTCCGTAGGCGAAAGCTTTCAGGACACACAGAGTAAGTTAAGATGTTCTCAATTCAGCTGAATTTCTTCAAGGCTTTCCAAACTAGACATGTGTGAAGCAACTGAAAAACAACCACCTCAGCCCAGGTCACTTTAACCAGACTATGGCAATGGTGGAAATCTTACCTGTGGCCAAACTCTCATTCCTATTCTGTGTAACACCCTGTGGAGAGGATTTGCTGGCTTGAGAGGCTGCTTTCTGTCCTGGAGTGGATTTACTGGTGTTAGAAACCACCTGTTTGACTGAAGGTGCATTATTCTTCTCAGTTTGCTTCCTCAGTTTCTTTCTCTTCTGTTTCTTGGGCTGTCTCCCAGCGTCCCCGGGCTGGCCTGGCTTAGGCACTGGAAGGCAAAACCAAATAATACAAAATAGGACAATGATACATTCTCACTCATAACATTCAGCTGTTACTGAAGACTAAAATTTCAGCATTGCAATGGCATATCGTGACGTTAAAAAAATCACACATTCTAGGATTTATTTAGACAGACCAAACATGCTTGCACACTTCAATATAAGCCCAGCTCTCCCACATCCATCATCACAAGGAATGGAGACCCCCGATTTCCAAATGCAACGTGCTCAACGTGTTTCAGCAGAGATTGTTTTATTCTTACAAAACGGCACAACGCCACCGCCCCGGGCCAAGCACCCCGTGGAGAGTCGGCTGTCGCACCCAGACCCCCACAAAGCTGCCGGAGAGAGCAGAAGCCGAAGGGTTACAGTAGCTCCATTACCAAATTTCCTCTTCCGCGACTCCGAGGGCTGCTGCGCGCTGACCCTCCTGGCCAAGCCCTGCAGGTAGGAGTCCTGGGCGGCCAGGCTGGCCATTGTGGCCGCGGGGTGGCCCTGCCAGCTCGTTCCCGGGTCCCAGAGGTGCTGTCCCCTCCTCGTGGATCCCCGGCAGGAAGTGATGGATGGGAGCGCGCCGGCCGGGAAGTGACGGCAGCGCCGGGCGCGCTGTGAGCGGGGGCTGGAGCCGACCCCGATGGAATTGCTCCAGGCACAGCCAAGAGCGAGGGCTCCGCGGAGCATCGGGGTCCCTCCGCCACACCGGGGGTGCTCGGGCCTCTCTGGAGCATCTGCGAGTCACCCCGAGACCCCCCCCCTTCCTTCCAGCATCACCCCGGAGCTCCCGCAGCCTGCCTGCGGCTCGCCCCTGACCTCAGATGTGGAGCTCCCAAACCTTTATTTGGGTTGGAGGACACACAAGTGCAGAGCTTTCACCTGGAGCACGGTGGGATTTAGTGAAGGTATCTGCAGCCCCCAAACGGGAACGCCTGCACGGAGCAGGGTTTTCTTGCCCAGCCTGCGGGGGAACGCTCGCCCCCACTGCATGTGCTCACGTTGTCACATTTCCACCAAGCCTCGTGGCTGAAAACACACGCCTTGAAAATCATACAAACCAGTCAGGTTTTATTAAATCACCTAGTTACAAAAAAAAAATAAAAATAAATGGAATGGAAGAAAAAGAAACCAAAAAAACTATAGCAAAATTCACATCCTAGGAAACGAGACATTACAGCAGAACGCCGGGGAAGCTCAGCAGGTTGTTGGAATGCGCTGGTGGCTCTGCAGTGCCCGTGACACTGAGCTGTGGTGACCGTGTGCCAGTGCAGGGACATCCCCCTTTTCAGCCACCACAAAGGGGAAGGGCAGATGATGTGCTGAGCTGCTGAACAGCTGCAGAGCAAGCACCAAACACGTTTCTTTGGAAGGAAATTGAGAGTAACCGAGTATCCCTCGCTGCTCCCAACACCCCAGTCATCTCAGGATGTTTTTATCAGGCAAAACTAAAAGCCAACATAAACAGTAGCTTCATGTTAGCTCAGACTGTGTTAGTAGAAATTTCTGTGTAAACACTGAAGAAGGAATCGACTAAAGCTGCTTCTATTTGTGGCTTTGAGCAAGTGGCATCGTCGATCCCTCAGTCTGGTCCCTGTTCTTCTTCACAGGGGGGAACACTGCTCTTCCACAAGGGTCTCCTGAGATCCTCCTCCCAAGCCAAGAATTCAAGTTTGTGAAGCACTTTGACAGTGAAGACTGTTATGT